ACTGAGTAGCACATGTACACACCTGTGTCATGGAGGCTAGGGGTCAACACTGAGTAGCACATGTACACACCTGTGTCATGGAGGCTAGGGGTCAATGCGGAGTACCTTCTACTGCCCCCACCTTATGTTTTGAGACAGGGGTTCTCACTGAACCTGTAGCTTGCCGTTTCCAAGTGACTGGCCATTGAGCCCCTGACATTGATCTATCCCTTCAGTGCTGGGGTTTCAGATAAGCGGCACCAGGCCTGGCTTTTCCTGAGGGCTGGGGTCTGAACTCAGGTCCTCACATGTGCGCAGGTTTATCCACCGAGACGCCTCCACAGTTCCCAATCTTCTAATGTGCGCCATCTGTCTGCACACACTGCACCTGGAACCCGTCTGTTTTGTTTTGCATACTTATTTTGGTGTTGAGGATGGAACCTAGGACCCCACACATGCTAGGCGAATACTCTACTCCTGAGCCACACCCCCACAGCAGGCTGTTTTAATGTCTGTGGTCTGTTTCTCCTACCTCAGAGAGCTTCCTCGACTTCTTTTCCAGGCTTTCTCTGGCATTCTAGCTTGTTTCTGTTTTTATAAGAACTCCAAACTCAGCTCAACCAGTTTAGCTCGGGCTTACTGCTCTGGTGTTTTCCATAGACGGATGCCCAGGAGGTGGCCTCTGTGGTGAGCGCCAGGGAGATCCAGGCTGTGGCCGAGCTGCTTCAGGTCTCCCCTGAGGGCCTGCAGAGGGCCATTACCTTCAAAGTGACTGTGAGTCTGAGGGCCCTGCCTCCTGATAACGGCCTATTCCTCTGAGGTCCCAGCTCCCTCTCCCTGCCCTGCCTCCTCTCAGGTCACCTCTCAGTCAGATCTGGAGAGGTGGCGCCTCACTTCGGGTCTCCTCATGGGCTTTGCCCAGCCTTGATTCTCTTATTCTTCCACTCCTGCCAGTGTGTCTGGAGGGGGTGTGGGGCGGGAAGACACGGGCACACATGGCATGCTCACCTCCAGGAAGCCTTCTCCAATCCTGGCTGGATCAGAGCTTCCTCTAAGGCATCAATCAGTCCTTCCTCTTCCAGGTGATCCCAGACTGATGTCTTCTTATGCCTGTCTCCCCCACTACACTAGCAACCCCCTCCCCTGCTTGAGCGGCCAGGTGCAGAGATAGCATTCTGGCCTGCTTTGGCCAGCAGTGAGCTTGAGACCCATCGCCCATCTGTCCAGTGTGCCTTTCCCTTGCTCCTGAACCCCCAGCCCTCCAGGGGCTTTCTGAGGCATTGGCCAGCCAGCTGTCACTCAAAGGTCACGCTCTTCCCAGGAGACCATTCGAGAGAAGATCTTCACACCCCTAACTGTGGAGAGTGCCATAGATGCCAGGTGAGGCTGTGCCCCTCTTTGCCCAATTCCCAGACCCCTGGTGCCTCTGCCTAGCCCACTCACCCCCAGCCCAACATGGCCTCTGCTCCAGGGATGCCATCGCCAAGGTCTTGTACGCACTGCTGTTTGGCTGGCTTATCACCAGGGTCAATGCTCTGGTGTCTCCAAAACATGATACGTTGTCCATCGCCATCCTGGACATCTATGGCTTTGAGGTAGGGCTGAGTGGGACCAGACTGGGCCTTACCCTTAGGAAGCTACTCGGTGAGGCTGGCGGGGGACAGTGTGTAACAGGCTTATGTGACCACAGCTCTGACCTGTAGCTAGCACTGGGGAGCTGGTCAAGGGTCAGAGACAACTTTCCAGAAGAAGGAAGCATCCCTAGGTGAAGGAACACTATCTGTAGAGGTCAGAGGCATGGGAGGACTTTGTTTGGGGAGCCAGTGTTGTTGTGGGGGAGACTATTGTACTTTGTGAGGACAATGTGGGAAAGGCTGAGTAAAACTTCCATAGCAAAACCCACAGCATACACTAACAAGGCACAATTGTGGGCCGGGCACCGTTGTTCATCAAGGCACTCCATCCAAAAGCCATGTAAGGCAGGTATTGCCAAGATCCCCCTTTTACACACAGTCAGAAAGTGGCAGAGCCAAGACTGGAACCCAGGCAGAAGGCCTGGTGGCCTGAGCCTCTGGCTCTTCTATGGGTCCCATCTGGTGTGCAGAGGGCCTTACAGGGTCTGGGGCCAGGGTCCAACTTTTTTTTAAAACTACAGCCATGAAATGCAGGGGCCTGGGCTTGGGCCTGGAGAACGTACACAGGGCCATGATGGGGGACCGATGGGTTGTTGACCAAGGAGAACCAGACCTAGCCTCCCATCTGCCCGGCAGGACCTGAGCTTCAACAGCTTCGAGCAACTCTGCATCAACTATGCCAACGAGAACCTTCAGTACCTGTTCAACAAGATTGTCTTCCAGGAGGAACAGGTGTGCAGCCTCCTGCTTGTCCATCCTTGCTGGTCAAGGGCCTTCCAAAGAGTACCAGGAAACATGGAGGAAAAGGCCTGAGAGGCAGGAGCAGCATGTATGAGGCCTGTGCTGTGAGGGAAAGTCCTGGGTTGCTGAGCCTAGAGAGGAGTTCTCTTGGGACCTTTCTCAGGCTCTTCTGACCCAGGGAGAGGGAAAGGGAGGTCCTGAGGGTCCGTGTTGCCCTGGTAGGATGCTGGCTCCATGTTACAGAAGGCAGGAGGCAGAGAGAAGTCATCCTGGGTGGAGGTGGCTGAACCCACGTTATTCACAGGAGGAGTACATTCGAGAGCAGATGGACTGGCGAGAGATCGCCTTTGCCGACAACCAGCCCTGCATCAACCTCATCTCCCTGAAGCCCTATGGCATCCTGCGCATCCTGGATGACCAGTGCTGCTTCCCACAGGTGAACCTCAGATGCTTCTGTGGTCCGAGTCCCAGTCTGGTAGACTCCCTGCCTGAGGTCACCCTCTGTGCTCAGGCCTGGGGCAGGAAATGTAGCGTTAGGACATCATCTAGAGCAGGGATCCTCAACCTTCCCAATACTGTGACCCTGTAACACAGTTCCTCATGTTGTGGTGACCCCAACCATACAATTATTTCCATTGCTACTTCATAACTGTAATTTTGCCACTGTTATGAAACATAATGTAAATATCTGTGTTTTCTGATGGTCTTAGGTGACTCCTGTGAAAGGGTCATTACACACACACACACACACACACACACACACACACACACACACACACCAAAGGGTCGCGACCCATAGGTTGAGAACTGCTGATCTATGGTTACCTGGAGTGACTAAGGTTGGAAGTTCCAGGTGAGGTGACCTGGGTTGGGGCTACATACTCTGACTTAATTAACACAGGGTATGATGTCGGTAAGAGCGTATAGGCAGCTGGAAACCAGCTGCTTCAGCCACAGCTGTGGGCCTCGCTCCCAGGACTCAGTCAGCCTCCCGTGACTGTGGGCTGTTCTTCTCCCGCACCCTCTGGGGAGCAGAGCGATCAGGGCGAAAGAACTTGGCACTGGGCCAGGAACAGGTGCCCAGATCCCCCTGCCTCCCTCCCCTGCAGGCCACAGACCACACCTTCCTGCAGAAATGCCATTACCACCACGGCGCCAACCCACTCTACTCTAAGCCCAAGATGCCACTGCCAGAGTTTACCATCAGGCACTATGCAGGCAAGGTCACCTACCAGGTGAGAGTGGAGACAGCCAGCATGACCTCAGGTGCTGTCCTGCAGGCTGGAGAGAGGATCGCAGTGTGGGTCTCACCGTGATCCCAGTTCTGGCACTGTCGCCCTGGGCTGTGTGGCCTTGGGAAATGGCTTAAGTTCTCTGAGCCTGTTTCCTCGTCTGAAAAATGGGGCTAATAATGTCAGTTTTCTGAGGTAGAGGTGAGACTTGAGGTAGATTTGACAGAGTGCCTGTTACTGATAATGGTGTCGTGTGGCCTTTATTATCCAAGTCACAACACAGAATTTCATATTTCTGTCTCCATTTGGACCATGTTTTCCTCATCTGCAGAATGGGTAGAAGGAAGTGAGGCCCAGTCTGGGTAGTACCCACACCCCCAAAAGAGTTAGCTGGGTGGAGCAGATGAGGAGAGACCAGGACAGAAGGGAGGGCCGTTCCCTCCCAGGACAGAAGGCAGACAGAAGTCTGGTAGAAGATGAGGCAATGCAGAGGACTGGGAACGAGCCTTTGATGCACCTTGGCTTCATACAGGAGTGGGTGAGTGGGGCCAGCCGCAGACCTGCCAGTCTCCTTTTTCAGGTGCACAAGTTCCTGGACAAAAACCATGACCAAGTGCGTCAAGACGTGCTGGACTTGTTTGTTCACAGCCGCACGAGGGTAAGGCAGCCTGGCCTCGCACCTGCCCTGCCTCGCACCTGCCCTGCCCTGCTGGCCTAACACCTGCCCTGGTGGCCTCACACCTGCCCTGCTGGCCTCACACCTGCCCTGCCCTGCTGGCCTCACACCTGCCCTGCCCTGCCCTGCCCTGCTCTGCTGGCCTCACACCTGCCCTACCCTGCTGGCCTCACACCTGCCCTACCCTGGTGGCCTCACACCTGCCCTACCCTGCTGGCCTCACACCTGCCCTGCCCTGCTGGCCTCACACCTGCCCTACCCTGGTGGCCTCACACCTGCCCTGCTGGCCTCACACCTGCCCTGCCCTGCTGGCCGCACACCTGCCCTGGTGGCCTCACACCTGCCCTGCCCTGGTGGCCTCACACCTGCCCTGCCCTGCTGGCCGCACACCTGCCCTGGTGGCCTCGCACCTGCCCTGCTGGCCTCACACCTGCCCTGCCCTGCTGGCCTCACACCTGCCCTGCTAGCCTCACACCTGCCCTGCTGGCCTCACACCTGCCCTGCTGGCCTCACACCTGCCCTGCTGGCCGCACACCTGCCCTGCTGGCCTCACACCTGCCCTGCCCTGGTGGCCTCACACCTGCCCTGCCCTGCTGGCCTCACACCTGCCCTGGTGGCCTCACACCTGCCCTGCCCTGGTGGCCTCGCACCTGCCCTGCCCTGCTGGCCACACACCTGCCCTGCCCTGGTGGCCTGGCCCACATTTCTGGCAGCACCTGCTGCTCCTTACCTGATCCGGCCTTACTCGCTCTACCCCTGGCTCTCCCCAGTCCAAGAAAGGGGGAGCCCCCTGGCCTGGTTTTGCTCCTTAACTCACCCCTGCCTCAGCCACCTGCCATGGGCCCCACCGCAGTCCCTCCTGAGACCCTTCTGTCCTGGTTCAGTGTTAACCAGCTTACCACTGAGACTTAAGTTCTGTATTCTTCCTTTATGTTTGAAGCCTGACCCTCTGGGGAGTGCATAGGGGCCAAGTTTGGGTTCCTTGGAAGGCCAGCCCCACTGTTCATCAGCAGGTGGACCTATGACAGGGGACTGATTGCATCCCCTCCCCTGTGGGCCCCCTCCTCTTCCTCCTCTGTCAAACCGGCCAAAGTTCCTGACCAGGGCCAGGTTCAGAGCCAGTGCTGTGTGCATTCCCCGGGAAGAAAGGAGAAAGCCGCCATGCTGTGGGCTGGGTCCCCTGGGAGGTGCTGAGCCCATATGCAAGCCAGGATGGCAGGGACATCTGGAGTCAAGTTGTTTTTCAGAGCCTTTCAGTCCAGGGACTAGACTCCTATTGTTCCGTCCCTGTTCCGCCCTTAACCTGCCGCTTCTGTCTGTCTGTCCTGTCTGTCATTGGCTTCCAACCCCTTGGCCCCTCCAGGTGGTGGCACACCTCTTCTCTAGCCATGCTGCACAGACTGCCCCTCCACGGCTGGGCAAGAGCAGCTCCATTACCCGACTCTACAAGGCTCACACTGTGGCAGCCAAGTTTCAGCAGTCACTCCTGGATCTGGTGGAAAAAATGGAGAGGTGGGTTGGGTGGGAGAGCCGAGCACCCAGCCCCCTCCCCCTTATCCCACGGCCCTCAGTGGATGAGCGCTCACCCTCTCTCTCTGAGATCTCACACAACCTCTCCCACCTCCGCCCAGGTGTAACCCCTTGTTCGTGCGTTGCCTGAAACCCAACCATAAGAAGGTGAGGCCCCCGGGAAAGTCAAATCCTCCTCCTGTGAAGTGTGACACTGGGCAAGTGGCTTGGCCTCTCTGCACCCCTACCTGCCCGCCGTGGGACTACTCACCCCTGCCCTTGTACCCGAATGGATGGTATGCGGATGTCCTTTCTGGGAATCCTTCTAGGAACCAGGTCTCTTTGAGCCAGATGTGATGATGGCGCAGTTACGCTATTCAGGGGTGCTGGAGACTGTGCGCATCCGCAAGGAAGGCTTCCCAGTGCGACTCCCCTTCCAGGTGTTTATCGACAGGTACTTCCATCGGGTAATTCACCGCTGCAGACCCCTCTCCTAGCCCCCACAGCCAAGCAACATAGGATCTGTCATGTACTGTTGCTCAGGCTGTACACGATACAAAACACGTTAGATTTAACATGAGAAATATATTTGTTGTGTTGTGTGGTTTTTTTTAATTACATGTATTCACTTATTGGGTGAATACATACTGTGAATACTGTGTCAGTGTGTGTGGAGGTTACAGGACAATTTTTAGGAGTCAGTTACTCTCTTTCCATCATGTGGCAGAGATGAGTTCACCAGAGAAAAGCTCAGGTTGTCAGGCTTGGAGGCAGGGACCTTTGTTTTCATAGTTTTTGCTTCTGTGTTGAATCCATCTAGGGGGATTTTAACAGCCATTAGGACAAGCTCCAGCAGGTGTCAGCAAAGGGTTTGTTCTGCTGAAACAGTGTTTTACGGTTTTGACACCTTGAACTAGTTTTGAGGACAGTGCTGTAAGCAAGCCACCTATTGGACCACACCCCCCAGACACAGGGATGGGGTAACATCAGGCCCTCAGGCTGAGTTTGGTCCCCCCCAGGTACCGCTGTCTGGTGGCCCTCAAGCTCAGTGTGCCAGCGGATGGGGACACGTGTGTGTCATTGCTCAGCCGGTTATGCACAGTCACTCCAGACATGTACCGTGTTGGGGTTAGCAAGGTGAGCTCCGGAGACCCCCACATTCAGTGATAATCCAAGGGGTACCCCAGAGCCATCCAGATGCCTGAGCCTGGGGTGCTAATTCACCTCAGCTCTGCTCAGGTGGCTTCCCCGATGTCTGGTGAACAAACTCCCAGCCAGGCTCCGGGAGGCGGCCCTGTTTTGGTGGACTCTTCACTAGGGTTATCTAATTGCTACCTCCACCCCATCCCCAGCTCTTCCTCAAGGAGCACCTGCACCAGCTCCTGGAGAGCATGCGGGAGCGAGTCCAGAACCGGGCTGCCCTCACCCTGCAGCGCTACCTTCGAGGCTTCTTCATTCAGCGGCACTTCCGCTCCCTGCGGCGGAAGATCATCCTGTTGCAGAGCAGGGCCCGTGGCTTCCTGGCTAGGTGAGGCCCGCAGAAGGGGAAGTCTCCGGGGTCCTCCGGTCTCAGAGGAGCCTAAGCTCAAAAAGAGCAGTCCCTGTCTCTGGAGGCATACAAGCGGAAAGAGGCTTCCACCGGAAGGATGACCTGATTCTCCAAGTCACTGCTCTCTGACTGTGGATCCAGCTGAGAGGGTTTCCCTGTTACCTGCCCACCAGGGGCTCTGGGACTAACACATGATGGGGTAGTACATGACCACTGTGAGGATCAATCCAGGCCCTGCCAGTGGATTTGCTGTGTGGAGTTGACTATGTCTCTGTCCCATATTGAACTCATTTTCCTTTGAGACAAAGAATCCCAGAGTGAAGTATGGGCAGAGGCATCTCTGACCCTTTATCACCCCACGGCCTCATCTTTGACTTCCTCAGGCAACGCTACCAGCAGATGAGGCAGAGTCTGGTGAAGTTCCGTTCCCTGGTGCACACCTACGTGAACCGCCGCCGCTACATCAAGGTACAGGCCTGCCTGGGTTGGGGGAGCACTTAGCCCAAGAGGAGCCCGTTCCCCAGTGCACGTCCCTGCCATGGCCTCCTCCTGAGCTGGGTGGCGGGAGCTCCTCTGGGGCCTGTTTCCTGGCATGTCCCTTGGGGCGTGGAGAAGGGTGGTAGGTGATGCTGTGTGAAGAGATGTAGCCAGCACTGGGGTCATAGTGAGCTGCAGGCGTGCTTGGCACTGGGTGACTTGAATCTCCTTAGTGTGATTTGCTACTTAGCTCACAGCCAGTCTTGTCCTCTGTCACATAAACCAACTGCCAGTGATAAGTGCCATTCCATTCCCAAAGCTCAGAAGGCAGGCAAGGCCTTCAGTGAAACAAAGTTTCCTGGGGTTCCTGCCAATGCATCCCCTCCCATCTCTGGCTACACCTTTGCCTCCCTTGCCGGAGGTCCCCATCAGTGCCACCAGGCGCCTCCAGGCCACAGGCCCTTCCCTACTGCTCGCGCCTGCCCAGGCTACCTGGCCATGGTTTCTGCCACCTGTGCCCTGACCATTTGCTCTCCTGCAGCTGAGGGCAGAGCGGAGGCGCCAGGCACAGGAGGCATGGCTGCGTGAGCAGGAGGTGGGTGCAGGGTTCAAGCCGCAGCAGGGCACAGGGAGGGAGGCCAGCCGGCGAAGTGTGGTGGCTGTCCCTTCACCTCTTGCCCTCCATCTCCCCTCCTCCCCAGGAGCTCAGCAAGCGTGAAGTGGTGCCAGTGAGGCACCTGGAGGTGCCAGCGGAGGTGGCGGGGCTCCTGCAGGCGGCAGCCGGTGCGTCATCTCTAACGGCGGCGGGGAAGGGCTGGGGAGAAGGGTGCGATCACCACATGCTTCCACCATCCGCAGGCCTCAAGCCGTCCAGTGTGCCCCGAGTAGCCATTGTCCGGACTCCTAGGCTCCAGACGGAGCCCTGCGTCACCCTTCCCCTGGACATCAACAACTACCCCATGGCCAAGTTCATCCGATGCCACTTCAAGGTAAGGGCTGGCACAAGCAGCCTGGCCCCTGGGCACTGAAACTCAGAGCTGACCCAGCCTCCCTGGAAGCTTTTGTGGTATGGACATGAGCCCATCTGGGAGCCCTAGGGCCCTGACAGAAGTGAGACCATCTCGGGCTCCAGCAGTATAGCTCACCAACCAGACTGGGATAATCAGAACTAATCAGAACCTGACGAGGAGGCGGCACAGCACCTGCCTCTGTGTCCTGCCCTCCAAGAAGGGCCCAGCGGCGTTGCTCTGCCTCCCCTGGTTACTCTCTGTGTGCCAAAGTCTGCCCTCACCAGACCTCAGCTTCTTCATCTAGGCACTGGAGTAGGGAGCCCACCCCATGGTCGTCTGCTCTCTTGCCCAACATGAGGTACAGGTGGACACCGATATGTCTGCCATCCCCAATGTCACCTCCCATGCCCTCCTTGTGTCCCCAGGAACCCTCCTTTGGGATGCTGACAGTGCCCCTGAAGACGCCTCTCACACGGCTACCTGTGGAGCACCATGCTGAAGCCATAAGTGTTTTTAAGCTAGTATGGGATCTGCCCCAGTCCAGCTTCAAGTGCATAGCCCTACCACAATGCCAGGCCACAAGCGCCCTTGCCCCTGGGCATCAAGTGCATAGCCCTACCACAATGCCAGGCCACAAGCGCCCTTGCCCCCAGGCGTCAAGTACATAGCCTTACATGAGAGGAGGTTACAAGCTTCCCCTTTATTCCCTGGTCATCCTCCTTGGCCTTCAAGCCCAGCTCATGAGTCCCACATCTCTTTTGGAAGCTATATGTCAGTGTAAAGATCTGGGCCTCCTTCTGAGAGTCTTTTCCCCAGTCATCCTCCTGGCAAGAGTGACTCAGAATTTCTCTGGTCCCTCCTAAGGACTCTCCCCGGGTGGAAGGGACAGGTCCCTGTTTTGACCCAGGACCACCAACATGTGCAGAGGGAGGTTCAGAGGCTGGGAACACAAATGAGGCTCCAGATCCATCCAGGCAAGCCACACGAGGCAGCCTGGAGGAGGAGGCTTTGGAGATGAGGGAAGTTTACCTATTGGGAGAACAGGATAGGAAAGATGGGAAAAGGGAGAGTGGCCCGTGAGGCTTAGATTACAGGTCCCCAGGTCCCATTTCACCAGAGGGCTAGGAAGGCCTGGAAGGTGTTTCCTGGGAGTGATGTGGTCGGGTCCGAATGCTAGAGAACCCTCTGGACCAAGTGGAGCCAGCTGGAGGCCAAGGGTACAAAAGGATGCTGGCAATGAGTGGGAGCCGCAGGAGGTTCACGGGCAGGAGAGGAATTCAGTGTGTACTTTGGATACTAACTTCCCTGCTGGAGGGACTTTTTGTGGGCAGGAGGACATGACAAGAATGTGGGTAGAAGCCCACACGAGTCTGTCTGTGCTCTAGATCCTGCGTTTCATGGGAGACCCCCACCTGCATGGCACCCAGGAGATGATCTTGGGGAACTACATCGTGCACCGGGGGCTGGTGGAGCCAGAACTGAGGGATGAGATCCTAGCCCAGCTGGCCAACCAGGTGTGGCGCAACCACAATGCCTACAATGCCAAGCGTGGCTGGTTGCTGCTGGCCGCCTGCCTAAGCGGCTTCGCACCTTCCTCACACCTTGACAAGTTCCTCCTCAAGTGAGTGCAATCCGGGGGGCAATAGGTGACCAGAGGCAGGAGCTCGGAGGTCAGGCCGGTGGGTGCCTCTGTGTTGCCAGAAGACTGGCATGGGCCGCAGCCAGAGCTGCAATCGCTTTACTGAGCCCAGAGCCAGAAGAAAGGCCGGCTTTACTGCAGAGGGGAGGAATCGTGTCCGAATGGATGAAGACTGGCAGAACCCAGGGGCAAAATGGGGATGTGGAGAACTGAGAAGAGTCCTTAGCTCTTAGATCTCTTAGGTTGTGGGGGCAGACAGGGGTTAGGAGCACAGCTGGGCTCAGACAATCTGGATTAAAATCCCAAGCTCGACTCTGTGATTTTGGGCAAGTCACTTAACCTCTCCAGACCTTGGTTTTGTCCCCTATAAAATGGGGGCGCTGATAGCAACTATTCTATAGTATACGTTACGTACGCAGAACAGAGGTGAGCGTATGGCAAGTGCCACGTGGGCAGTGCCGTGATGACAGTGTTTCTCTGGTGCTGGTGAGGTGCAGGGCTCATGAGAGATAGTGCACACGCCTATCGCGTGACCCAGGGCCAGTACCTCTCTTTTCTCTGCTGTAAGGGAGGGGATGGTAGCAGGATCCACCCACCAGGATAGCAATGAGCACCAGACTGTGAGGAACCTCTCCAGGCCGGCATGCAGAAGGCAGCCATTCCTCAGCCAGTACTGTGGCTATGGTGGCTCTAGCAGCAGAGTAGGGCCACTGTCGTCTGTGTGGGGCCTTCCTGAAAGCACAACCCTGGTCCCTCTCAGGGAGGGATGGGTAGGGGCATGAGGGGACCTGCTGATGGGAACAGCTCTCTGGCCCTGAGCTGAGTTGGACCCCCACAGTTATCTCTTACACAGATGAAAACTAGGAGGCCAGGCTAAGAGCAGGTGGCCATCCAGACTACCGAGTGAAGGGATGGGGACAGAGCCTTCCAGGGCCCGCGTTCTGGCTCATGCTCAGTCATACACCCCACCCAAACAATGACATTTGATTCCATCCTTGATCTTCTGTGCTAGACTGGATACTTCTGGGCTAACCTGGGACTTATTTTTAGGCTAGCCTCAGCACTCTAGGCTATGGGAGCCTGTTAGTGTGCTCTCTAACCTATCCCATTTGTGGGTTTGCCTGAGGCTTTTCCACCTCACCTTAGCGCTAGGGGCTAGCCTGAGTCTACACAGCAGGCTCCCACTCCCTATTCCTCCCCCAGGTTTGTGTCTGATTATGGGCAGAATGGCTTCCAGGCTGTGTGCCAGCACCGCCTCCTGCAGGCTCTGGGCTCGGGGGCTGCCCGCACCTTCCCCCCGACACAGCTCGAGTGGATCGCCATTCAGGAGAAGGCCAGTATGGCTCTGGATGTGAGCTGCTTCAACGGTATGTAGGCTCATCCCTCAGGCTGCTTCTCTTCTCCTCCTGAAGGAAGAGACGCTGGAGTCAGCAGCAGCCACTAAAGGTTCTGAAGCCAGGGAGGGACTCCTGCCAAAGTGGCAGTGCAGGGAAGTGTGGGGGTTCCGATGTGGGCCGGGGGCGTGGGAGCCAGTGAGGCTGGCCTGGAGATGCCCCTGACTGAGTACAGCTGCTGGCTGTGCCAGGTGACCAGTTCTCCTGCCCGGTGCATGCCTGGAGTACGGGGGAAGCAGTTGCTGGAGACATTCTAAAGCACAGGTTGGCTCCTAGAATGCCCCATCCAGCACCCCATGACTTGGGAAAAAGGGAGGGGCAGGAGGCACCACCCCAGGGGGAGGGGGAGGGTCCAGAAGGCCACTCTGACCATGCCTTGGGTCTGATTCATACCCCAGGGTCTCCTGGCAATGCCTGACAGGTTTCACCCTTTATTTCCATTCCTCTGCACACTGACCAGGGGGCTGGCCGATGGTTGGAGAGGCTGGACAGTGGCCATGAAGAATGGAGTCCAGTGGGCAGAGCTGGCTGGACATGACTATGTGCTGGATCTGGTGTCAGACCTGGAACTGCTCAGGGACTTTCCTCGACAGAAATCCTACTTCATTGTGGGTGCAGAAGGGCCTCTGGCTGGCAGAGGAGATGCCAGAGGGTACATAGCTACCCTGGGCAGCTGACTCTACCCACCGGCTGTAGAGAAAGCCCGAGTTCTGGGGGTGGGGTTGTTTTATGTTTGGCCGTTTGAGCTGATAAAACCTCAAGCTCCTGGACTCAAGCCATCCTCCTAGCTTGGCTTTGGGAGCCTGGAGCTGCAGGGGTGCACCACCGTGCCTAGTAATTCTACCCCTCAATTGGAGAAGCCCCCCAACCCAGGACACACAAGAGTCTCAGGGAACCTCTTTGAGGGCCAGCTGTCCTTTGCCTCCCCTTTCATGCACAGGGTGTTCGGGAACTGCTGGGATTCGGATGAGGACACACCCACAAGGCCTCAGCCCCAGGACCATGTGCCCCAAATGCCTGACTTTGATGGGTACTGCAGCCACAATGAGGACGGTACAAATGGGGAAACTGAGGCCCAGAGATGGACAGCACCTCGCCAAGGTCAACCAGCAATGGCTATTTCATGAGAGGGGAAGGAACCCAGAGGGTGTGGAGACCCCCAGGAGAAGTAAACTTGGCCCTTTTGTTCCTTCGCCAGCTGTGGACAGCACCAGAGAGCCCACGGTGCCCCCTAGGGAGCTGGATGGCTACTTGGACAGCCTCTTCGACCCTGTGCTGGCCTGTGGGGATGCGGTAGGGATGTAGCGAGATGTCTGCAGGGGGCAGGCTCAGTGTGTAGACCAGAGACATATCCCATGTCTTACGGTGACATCTGAGCCTTACACAGACAGAGCCCTGGGGCACGGGATCTAGCCTGGGTCTGTGCTGGGGGCAGGGGAACCTTGGGGTTACCTGGCAGCTAGAGATGCCCCTGGCTGCCCTGGAAGGACCCACAGCTAAATGTCAGGACCCTAGCTGTCACATCTGGCAGTAGTCACCCCATAGAATGGATCTCTGGGTCACCTGTTTCCAAATCTCACGAGACTTCCTTGCCCTAGGAAACCCCAGCACAGACACTGGCTCCCACAGACACTGGTTCATTCCTTGTGGAGGGGGTGGGTTGGGAGCTTGGGCTGGTGTCAGGTGCCTGTTGCCTTGGATCCTGGGGATCACAGCAGTGAGGCGGCCACTGCTGCCCCAGGACCTGGAGAAGCCGACAGCCATCGCCTACCGCATGAAAGGTGGGGGCCAGCCAGCTGGAAGTGGCAGCAGCGCTTCTGAGGATACGCCCCGGAGACCCCTAGACCCCAAGGTCAAACCCAGTCAGTGCTTCCTCAGTATGCTTCCGGGATAGGGGCGGGTGGTGCCTAGGGGGAGCTCCTGCTTCCCTAACATCTGTGCGCACCTGTGCCTTCTGCTTGGTTCCCCAGTCCCAGGCCTGGATGCCTCCACACTTGCTCTGCAGCAAGCCTTCATCCACAGGCAGGCTGTGCTACTGGTGAGTGGGGGCAGGGAACGAAGAGCATGCGTGCGTGCGTGCGTGCGTGCGTGCGTGCGTGCGTACAGGTCACTTGGTCACCTATCCCCAGGCCCGGGAGATGACCCTACAGGCGTTGGCACTCCAGCAGCAGCCCCCGAGTGCAACCTCAAGACCCCAGCCCCCAGAGGTGAGCAGAGCGGCCCAGGGCACACAGGAATACTGTGCTACCCCAGGGCTTTACTGTGCCTCCCTGAGGCCAGGGGTCCTGTAGTCCACTTTGGGTGGAGATGGGGTGCCTGGGAGTAAGCTGGCATGTCCTTAGATGGCCACTTCTTTCCACAGAGACCACTAGCTCCAGAGGCACGGCCGAAGACCGTAGGCACTGGTCCCCCCGCCAAGCCCGTGCTCGTACGCCCCACTCCACAGCCGTTGGCCCCAGCCTCAGTGGCAAAGTCCCCGAAGATCCCTAGCAAGCCCGTGGCTGCCCCCATCCTAGCTCAGGATTGGACTGCTCCAGAATCCAGTGAGTGTCCATCCGAGTCCTGAGGCTGCTCAGATGGGCCAGGGCCACCGGGCCCCATGGCCTTACCTGGCCACCTGCCCTCACAGTTTCAGCCTCCCCAGAGCTGGTTCGGTATTCCACACTCAATTCAGAGCACTTCCCACAACCCACGCAGCAGATCCGAAGCATCATCAAACAGTGCAAGCAGCCGCCCTGGGCAGGGCGCCCGGAGGCCCGCAGGTGGGTCCAGACACCAGCCCTCAGCTCACCTTGCTCTCTACTGGGTTCATCGCCATTCAAGATGGGCCCCTGAGCAATGGGAGGCTCGGGCTGCCACAGTCTCCACTGTGCCAGACAGCCCAGCTCCTCTCTGGTGCGTGCTTGTAATGGCATGTGGGAGGGTCCCCATCTTGGGGATTATGGGTAAGGGGATACCTAGTGTCCAACCTGCCATGGGTCACCTGCCAGAACGGATGGTGGGAAGGTGTTCAGGAGGCCACCTGACCCCCATGAGGAAGCCCTAATGATCCTGAAGGGACAGAAGACTCACATGGCAGTAGTGCCTGGCACTCAGGTGAGGAGTGGGTTGGGTACCCCAGAGGGACAGAGGCCACAGAAGCCAGTTACCCTCTCAGCATGGCCCTATGCCCCCCCACGGTCTGCTTACTGCCCCCTGAGTGCTCTGTTTGTGGTGGGACAGGTGTCCAGAGAGGCTGTGGCCCTGGTGAGGCCGGTGACCAGTGCCCCAAGGCCATGCATGGGGCCCGCTCCAGGTGAGGATCTCCAGGGTGGGACGTGCAAGTGTCCAAGTGAGTGTGTGAGCCTGTGAGCGAGCACAGGGGTGTTTGGGGGAGCTGAGTCAACGTGTGCACACTGTGTGGACACTGGTGTCATTACAGCATCACCCCTTAAATCACTGGTCTCAGGCCAGCCCCACCTTGGCTTCATTGAAGCCTACTGACGCTCATCAAAACAATGCTATTTGTTCATACCCGTTAAAGGTGGGGTAACACAAACACAAAGACATTAAGTGGCTTCCGAAGGCCACACAGCTGAAGCCCTAGTCAGGCAGTGAGCCTAAAATATGAGTTAGCTCCCATCATGTCTCTGACAAAAGCTCCTATAATGAGCCCCAAACTCTTCACTGTGACCTTGACCATCCTGTGTGATCTATCTGCGGGGTCTCATAGCCTCTCCCTTCCTTCCCCTTGACACATTCAGTTCCTATAACTTAGATACCACGCCTGCTCCGGTCTCAAGACCTTTGCATGTGCTGTCTCCTCCAAGAGGAATGCTCTCCCTCACAGGCTTTGGGTGCCTGGCTCCTTCTTGCCCATCAATCAGGTGTCTGCTCAAACACTGTCACTTCAGAGATGTTTGCCCATCCCTCCTGAATCACCCTGCTGTACTTTCATGACATCCCCTGTTACCATAAGCACCATAAGGCCTTCCCTGGTCCTGCTGGGTCCCAAGAAGCCCCCCCCCTTATACTTTCTGCCCCTGCCGTCCACAGTGCAGCCTTCAAGGTCGCTGGAGCCTCCAGAGGATCCTGTGCAGACACAGCTGCACCGCCTAGTCAACCCCAACTTCTATGGCTACCAGGACGCCCCCTGGAGGATCTTCCTGCGCAAAGAGGTGCCAGGAACAGGCCAGAAGATGGGCTAGATATGGGCAGAGTTATCCAGGAAGCTAGGTCATGGGAACCGTGAAGGATGGGAGTGGGGCTAGAGCCAGGGTTGGAGTCTGCCAGGGGCTGCATCTGGGGCCGGGGTCCAACTAAGAAGAGGGGGTGACCCATGGGTCACTATGGCCCTACCCACACAGGTATTTTACCCTAAGGACAGCTACAGCCACCCCGTGCAGCTGGACCTCCTGTTCCGGCAGGTGAGGTCTTCTCCTTTCCTCTCACCTGCAGGCTCTTTCCTTTTGGGGTCCGTGGGTTTGAGAGATGCTCTCCCGATTCCCCCACTCCCATGGACACGTCCATCTACTAAGTCACACACAGTTCAGTCGGGGAGTATGTCTGTGACCCCAGCACCCAGAAGATGGGGGAAGGAGGGTCAGGAGCTTTGATACAAGGCCCTGGACCAAAAACACAAAACAAACAAACGAAGAAAAACAGTCACTCTCTCTAAGTTCGCAGGGCCTAGAGGTCAAATCTCAGTCTCACCGGATACATACAGAAACCAAGGCCTGGGAAAAGCAGAAAGGATTAGGGAGGTGACCATGTGAAGGATCAGATAACAGAAGTAACCCAGTTTACAAATGACCCCAGTGGGGCAGACCTGGAACCCCTCCCCGAGAACCTAGGCTATAGACCTCAGCTTCCAGCAGGGGCACCCTTGTTCCTTCAGATCCTTCATGACACGCTCTCGGAAGCCTGCCTACGCATATCTGAGGATGAGCGGCTGCAGATGAAGGCCCTGTTTGGTACCTTGGGGAAGGGGAGGGCTCTGATGGGCAGTCAACCAGATTGGGGGCCAGCCCTTGCCTGGAAGAAGTCTAAGGATACACCCCTCCCTCTTCCCCCCCCCCACATCCTTATTCAGCCTGACCAGGCTGCATGTTTGGAGGTCAGCAACAAGTAACACACAATATGGCCCTTTCATCTATCTGTGGCTTCTAGCTCCCCATACAGACATTGGTCAGACAGCTTATGGCTGGTACCAACCTCTCACCCCCAACTCCCTGAGATGTGAGCTGGAGAGGAGGGGAAGAGGGTCTTGACCAGAACTGGCCTCCCTTAGCCCAGAACCAGCTGGACACACAGCGACCTCTGGTAACAGAAAATGTGAAGCGGGCTGTGATCAGCATGGCCCGAGACAGCTGGGAGGTCTACTTCTCCCGCCTCTTCCCGGCAATGGTAAGAGTCCCTGTTCACCCCCTTCCTGCCTGCCCAGAGCAGCCGAGACAGAAGGACTCAACCAGGTTAACCCTTCCTAGGGCAGTGTGGGCACTGGCGTGCAGATCCTGGCTGTATCCCACACGGGCATCAAGCTCCTGAGGATGGTCCAAGGCAGCAGAGAGGCCAGCAGACAGCTTCGGGTCCTGTGTGCATACAGGTGATTGGCAGGCAGGTGGGAGTGGGCTGTCTGGACACAGGCACAGACTGGCATCAACATCTCCGCAGTGTGCTGTCTATGCCAAGCCTTTTACTTAAGTCCATGTTAAAGATTTGGAAAGGGAGGCACAGAGAGAGGAGTTGATGGTCTCTGGTCACATGGGTGGGAAGTGGTGGAGCCGGGACCCCACTACCCTGCTCTGCCTCTGGAGCCACACGCCAGCCCTGTCTCCAGAGCTCACTATACAGAGGGGGTAACTGCTGAGATCAACCAAGTCCCCAGGCATCTGGGAGAGAACATGGCTCTGGCTGAGACCCTACTGAGTGCCCAGACTCTCTACTGGAGTCCCTTTGTCCATTTCAACATGAGGTCAGGGACAGCTCTTTTTTTTTTTTTTTTTTTAAAGATTTATTTATTATGTACAGTGTTCTGCCTGCAGGCCAGAAGAGGGCGCCAGATCTCATTACAGATGGTTGTGAGCCACCATGTGGTTGCTGGGAATTGAACTCAAGACCTCTGGAAGAACAGCCTGTGCTCTTAACTGCTGAGCCATCTCTCCAGCCCCAGGAGACAGCTCTTATCACTGGCTGGGTGGAAACTCTCATAAGGAGAAAACTGGGCCAACTGATGAGACAAGGATATGGTGTGGGCAAAGTCTGGCTTTGTGGTTGGACCGAGGCCCTGAACGATGGCACAAAGGGTTTTCAGAAACACAGAACACATAGATGGGTCAGAGAGGGGACACAGGACCAGAAAAGGCCTGTGGGAGGGCATCTCTTTGGCCACAAGGTCTCTGCCCTCACACCGCCTTCTCTCCCTCCAGCTTTGCAGACATCCTGTTTGTGACCAGGCCATCCCAGAACATGCTAGAGTTCAACCTGACCAATGAGAAGATCATCCTCTTCTCCGCCCGAGCTCATCAGGTCAAGACCCTAGTAGACAGCTTCATTCTGGAGCTGAAGAAGGTTAGGATCCCTCCACAGATGTGGCCTGCCACTCCAAAACAGATGCATCACAGCCCTTCTGCCCAGAGAGTGTGAATACACTGTGTACATGTGCACACTACAGAACACACCCACAGACCTTTATGCCAATGAGTGGTGTCTTCACCTTGCCCTGCCTCTTCTCCTTTGTGCCCCCAGCCTCTTCTTCACACCTGCCCCTCAGCAGAAGAACGTACCTCCTGCAAGCAATTGTCTCCTAAAGACTGCATTACTTGCCCTCAGAACCTCCTTCTCATTTACCCCTATACTTTGGCAGGACATGTTCCAGGCCCAGCACCCAGCCTAGGGGGATCCAGAGGAAGGTTTAGGGAGGGATCATTGGCTAAGGCACAAGTATGCTCAGCAATCTCAGGTCCCCATCCTGTAACGTCTTACCCTCTGCCCATCTAGGAAACACCCATCACTTCCCCCTGCCACCTAGGGAATGTGCCTTCTCTGATGGATCGGGAGAATGGAAGGAGCAGGAGCCGGGAGCCCCAGAAATGAAGGTAGTACACAGCGCTCTCTCTATTCCTGGTGTTTTCCAGGATTCTGACTACGTGGTGGCAGTGAGGAACTTCCTGTCTGAGGACCCGGAACTGCTGTCCTTCCACAAGGGTGACATCATCCACCTGCAGCGCCTGGAACCACCTAGAGTGGGTCAGCTCCATGGCTGGGTGGAAGCGCACAAGAGAGGGAGCTGAGCAAATGGCTTCCCCGGTGCATGCTGATGCAAGCTCCTTCCACAGGCTACAGCGCCGGCTGTGTGGTCCGCAAGAAATTGGTGTACCTGGAGGAGCTGCGGCGGAGAGGCCCTGACTTTGGTGGGTGTTTGTGGATGGCCCAAACCTGCAGCACCAGAGAGGGGTGCTAGTCCAGGTTCTAAACTCGCTGCAGACGCATGATAAGAGTCTATTGGTGCTCTCTTGGTCTCCTAAGATGACCCGACATTGCCGGCCAGCAGCTCTTCCATCCAACCTTTTTGCCTACACATATGGCTGAGGTGTGTCTCCATGCCTGAGGCCCTACACTGTATTTCCGGTTGCTCCTGGCATTCATCTCCAGTACCACAAAAAAAAAAAAAAAAAAAAAAACAAAGACAAAAATAGTACTAGGAATGGCTCCAGGGGGCGCCCAAGCCTCCTCAAAGGACCCACTCTGTCCCAAGACAAGACCTTCCCATTTTCCTCTACTTGTCCCTAGGCTGGCGGTTCGGGGCGGTCCACGGGCGCGTGGGCCGCTTTCCTTCAGAGCTCGTGCAGCCCGCCGCCGCGCCAGACTTCCTGCAGCTGCCGGCGGAGCCGGGCCGGGGCCGGGCTGCAGCCGTGGCTGCCGCCGTGGCCTCGGCAGCAGCCGCACGCGAAGTGGGGCGCCGGAGAGAGGTGAGGGGCAGGGCAGACACTCCAGGGGCGGGGCCAGCCGTGGGGCGCAGCCAATCCCATACAAGGGGCTGGCCTGGAGGGCGGGGCCTAGTTTGGAAGCAGAGTCATCACAAGTGGTGAGTGGGGCGGGCTTGAAGGATCCAGATGTGTGGCTGGGAGGTCAGCTGTCACAGCAGGGTCGAGGTAGGGGTGGCGATGGGCCTTGGCAACTGCACCTATCCCGCAGGGTCCTCCAGTCAGGGCGCGCTCCGCTGACAGCGGAGAGGACGCCGTGGCGCTCCCACCGAGCACAATGCTCGAATTTGCCCAGAAGTATTTCCGAGACCCTCGGAGGCGTCCCCGGTGGGTAGTGACCCGTCCTCCGCTTCCCCATCTCCGCGTTTCCTTGAAGTCATTCGAGCTGTAGGCTGTAGGGCTCCCAGCCCCACTTGCGGCGGGGGGATCCGGAAACCCCTTAGTCTCAGTCTCTAGGTGCCTTCCTGACGGTTGAACTATTGAAAGGAGCAGAGATGTAGCCAAAGCCTGGGAGGCAGGACAGGGTAGCAGCGCCCATCTGTTACAGGGATGGCCTCAAGCTGAAGTCTAAGGAGGACCAGGAGTCCAAAACTCTGGAAGACATGCTTTGCTTCACTAAGGTGCATGTCCTATGCCTCAGTTTCCTGATCTGTAAAGTGGTGATGCAGAAACCCTCTTCTATCCCCTAGAGCAAATACGTGTCCCCATTGAAAGCCTCTGGCTCTCAGCGTCTGGAGCCAGGGCTCCTTGCAGCACAGTGTCTGTCCTCTATCTTGTGATATGGGTCCTCCTGTCATAATACAGCCTGAAAGCATGGTGTGGTCCTCTTCTGTTCTACCAAGTGCCAACTCCATCGTGATACAACCCCTTGGTCTCCTCACAGGTCCCCATCCAGGAATCCCTCATTGAACTCAGTGACAGCAATCTCAACAAGATGGCGGTTGACATGTTTCTAGGTGTGTGGGATGCAGCACTGTGTAACCTGTGTTTGTTACAGCTCTTCCCTAGTTCTCAGAGTTTTCCCTTCCCCAAATCTGAGACACTTGGGAGAAAATGGAAACCTCTAGCTGTCCCAGCTGCCGCCTCCTAGAGAGGAAATGGACCTTGGGGCCTCTTGGGATGGGCAGCTGAAGCATGGTGGCCCTGAGCAGAATATGTCTTTCCTACAGCTGTGATGAGATTCATGGGAGATGCCCCACTGAAGGGCCAGAACGAACTGGATGTCCTCTGCACCCTCCTGAAGGTGAGTCCTGAAGCTCTGTGCCTTGGTTTCCCCATCTGCCAGTTGTAGTGCAGTGGGAAATCTCTCATGCTGCCCAGAGAGGAATGAATGCATCCTGCTGGTGCACGGAGGGCTGAGAACTTCCATACCGGGCAAGTGATCTGGCCTGCCTTTTTACAGTTTTGTGGGGATCACGAGGTCATGCGAGACGAATGCTACTGTCAGATTGTGAAGCAGATCACAGACAACACCAGCTCCAAGCAGTGAGTCACCTTCCAGCCCACTGTGCCCACACTCCCCCCATCTCAGAACTTCTCCCTCCTCAGCCTTGTGTTGTCTGGAGCATGCCATTTCTGCTCTTTCTTCCTCTATAAAAGAGGCAACAGTAATGTTTATGTTTAGATTCTTGGCTGCATCTAACAGAAATCCAACTCAGGGTGGTTTGGTCAAAAGTGAGAACCTGCTGTTTCAAGCAGCTGAAATTCAATCAGGATGTGCTTGCAGGCCCAGCTGGGTCCAGATATCATGAGAAAGCTTTCGTGGATGGGGATGTGGCTGAGAGGCTAAGAATGCTTGCTGCTCTTACAGAGGAACTAAGTTCAGTTCCCAGTACCCATGCTAGGCAGCTCACAACTGCCTGTGACTCCAGTTCCAGGAGACCCAACTCTCTCTTCTGGCCTCTGCCAGCACCTGCACTCATGAGCACATACCCACACACAGGCATGCCCACATTAAAAAATAACAATAACAATAATAATAATAATAAACAATCTTTAGGAATATGGCAAGCTTCCATCCTCTGGTCCTACTTTTCTTCTAGATTGATAGCATTCCCATATAGTCTCTCTCACAGTTAGCAAAATGACAGCTTGGGGGAACATTTATTTCTTCAGCTCAGGAATCACAAGAAAAGCAATACTGGCCTCAATTTGCTACAGAAATTCTCAAATCCAAGAAGACAGGTTTGTGGGGGGTCTCTTCCCAATGTGGCCACCCTGACTAAGACCCCTCTTTTCTGTGTTCACCACTACTTGTCCATTTGGCCTGCTGAGGGTGGGTGGCTGAGCCTAGCAACTCCAGTAACTATTTTGCCAAGTCCTGGCCAAAACACATTTTTGTTTATGTCAGTCACTCAAGCAAGTTGACCCTGGATAGCAGAGGAAAGATCAGATAGTCCCACACAGCTCCTGGGATCCCTGGATCCGGGGGCTTTTCTAATCTTCCACTTCAGTCGCTTTTTAACTCTAGTTGGTAAAGCAGAGACATAAGTGAACTTCATTTTGGACTTTAAAGAAAGTGTCACCCTTGAAGTCCATCTTGGAAAAAAAGAACACGTTTAGCGGTAGGGTGGTAGTGGTGAGGGTGAATGTGTACCACGGTGCCTATGCAGAGGACAGAGGAAAACCTGTGAGAGCTGGGTTTCCCTTCCACCAGATGGGTCCCCAGGATTGAACTCAGGTCGCCTTTGCCCTATGAGCCATTTCTCCAGCCCCTGAAGTACAACTTCTGACAAAAGAACCTGAGCAAAACCTGGGTGTGGTGGCATGCTCGTGATCCTAGGACTCAGGAGGTGGGAGTAGGAGAAACAGGAGTTCAGGGTCATCCTTGGCTACATACTGGGTCCAAAGCCAGCCCGGGTTACATGAGACTCTGTCTCAAAACAAGTGGGAGTTGGGGGCAGTGGGGGGGCTCAGCTGGTGGAGATGCTTGTCCCCAAGCCTGACAGCCTGACTTGAAGCCCCGGAACCCACATGGTAGAGAGAACTGACTCCTGCAAGTTGTCCTCTGTCTTTCATGTATGTACAAGTGCATGTGCACACTTACGTATTTAAATGTAAAGAAAATTTAAGCAAGATAAAGGAACTTGCACAGGATTTTTGAGTAGCTGATGTGCACAAGACGAGCTCCAGCTGTACCTGGCCTAAGAGCCACTCTTGTTATACTTTCTTCTTTTTCCAGACAGGGTTTCTCTGGGCAGCCCTGGCTGTCCTGGAACTCACTCTGTAGACCAGGCTGGCCTCGAACTCAGAGATCCTCCTGCCTCTGCCTCCCAGGTGCTGGGATTAAAGGTGTGTGCCACCACTGACCGACCTTTTTATACTTCTTAGCTGCTTAAAATTCTCCATAAAGCGTTTGCTTGGCAATAACTCCTTGACATTCGTCATTCATCGTGCCCTTGAATGAGGGATCTGATCTGAACCACTGGGACAGATCTCACTCATTCCCACAGTAAGGGACAGTGGGAATCAAAGCACCAGAGGGTCAATGAGCTATGCATTCAGAAAATATTGTTCAGGTGGGGGAGGGTGGGATGTAGGGATTGAAAAAAGTCACACTGGGTATAGTGGCACTTGCCTGTAACCCCGGCACATCGGAAGCTGAAGAAGGATCCAACGTTTGGGGTCACCCTGGACTTCATAGCAAGTCTCCCCACTCCCTCGTGTGTGTGTGTGTGTGTGTGTGTGTGTGTGTGTGTGTGTGTGTGCGTGCGTGCGCGCGCGCGTGTGCATACATGGAGGCCAGAGGTCGACACAGGTGTCAGCCAGTCTGAACTCTAATTGACCAATCTTGGATCCTGTGTCCATCTCTAAGGCACCCTGTGTGCTTACAGGGACAGCTGTCAGCGAGGCTGGAGGCTGCTGTACATCGTGGCTGCCTACTACAGCTGCTCTGAGGTCTTCTACCCATACCTCGTTCGCTTCCTCCAGCATGTGAGCTGGACCCCAGGACTGCCTTTCCAAGGTGAGGAGCTGTGAGTGGGGACACTCACATAGGGACAGGGCATTCAGCCATGGGCTGGCAAAACCAGAGAGCCTGGCCCTTGGCAGGTGCCTAGGAGTGTTAACGGATATAAATGGCTCTATGAACACTCATGGAGATCCCAAGAGGGCTGGTGCAGTGGCTCCTCTGATCTCACGTGGGTGTGCCCAGGGAAGGTTCCTAGAGCAGGAATCGCCCTGGGTAGTGCTTGCACAGAAAGAATTTCCAGGTGGACTTTGCAAGTCAAGGCCCAGAAATGGAGTGCGTGACATATAGGAGAAATGGAGGAGGTAGGCAAGAACCCGGAACACCAGAGTAGGGTCCTGCTTCTACTCATCCAGGGTCTTCAGTGGCCTGCAGCTGGTAGCATGGTCTCAGCTTTACTTCTTCAGTATGGAGGAAGGGGCTAGCTGCTTCCAGCCGTGTTTCCATAGCAACTCTAAGAAAAAGACAAGGCACGGTGATGCATATCTGTAATCCGGTACTCAGGAAACTGAGGCAGGAAAATTAGGAGTTCCAGGGCAGCTTGGGATACATACTGTCATTTCTATTCCTATGATAAAACACCATGACCAAAACCAACTGTGTGAGGAAAGGGTTTATTTCATCTTACAGCTTACAGACCATCATTAAGGGAAGTCAGGCAGGAACTCAAGGCAGGAACCTGGAGACAGACACTGAGGTAGTGCCATGGCTTGCTTGCTTCCTTTTTTTTTTTTTTTTTTTAAAAGATAGGATTCCTCGGTGTAGTCCCAACTGTCTTGAAACTCATTCTGTAGACCAGGCTGACCTTGAACTCAGAGATCCTCTTGCCTCTGCCTCCTGAAATGCTGAGATTAAAGGCGTGTGCTACCACTGCCCAGCTTTTAGCCACCTTTCTTGTACCTCCCAGGACTACTTGGCCATGGGTGAGACCAGCTACAGTGGGCTAGGCCTTCTCACACCAATCATTACTCAAGAAAATGTCCCATTGTAGTTGGAATTTTCTTGGGCCACCAACCATCTCCCCAATAAAGACACGGAGACTTATTAATTATGAATGTTTGGCCATAGCTTAGTCTTGTCCCATTAGCTCTTTTAACTTAATTTAGCCTGTTTCTATTCATCTACATTTTGCCTCAGGGCTTTCTACTTTTCTTTCATTCTGTATGTCCTACTTTCCTGCTTCCTCCGTGTCTGGCTGGCTGGCTGGCCAGCTCCTGGTGTCTCCCTGGCATCTCTTTTTCTTTCTTTTCCTTTGAGCCTAAATTCCTCCTCCTACCTACTCTCCCTGCCTACAAGTCCTGCCTATACCTCCTCCCTTACTATTGGCCATTCAGCTTTTTATTAGACCTTAGGCAGGCAAGGTAAAACAGCAACACATCTTTACATAGTTAAATAAATATTCTGCAACACCCCATAGACATGTCCATGGGCCAATCTGATAGGGCACTTCCTCAGTTGAGGTTTCCTATTCCTGGTGTCTCTAGTTTGTGTCAAGTTGACAAAAAATAATAAGCACATCCACTGAGATCCTATCTTCAAAAAAGCAGAAGGACCAGGGCCTCTAATCAATTATAGTGATGGCAGCCATAGAGGACAAAGGGGAGCCCCTCTCCCTGAATCTCCCTCTGATTATTAACTGACATGGATAACTAGGGAAGGGATCCCAGGTGGGAGATGACTGAAGAATGTGCCCTGGAATTCCTGACTCCATCCCTGGAGAGGGAAAGTACACTGCTTAGCTTAGATGCATGGAACACAGATGGCTGGGGTCTCCGTCCTGTGATGCACAGTGAGATGAGGCACTTGGCATGCAGTCCCAGTTGACAGAGACAGGGCACCATCATGTCATCTATTGAGCCAGTTGGGAGTGAGCAACATGGTCAACAGCTAAGGAGCATGGATATCTCTAGGTCCATACAAAGCCAAGGGCAAGACAAGCTTATAACCCCATGAGATGTAGGTTTGGATTCTGCTCTTACACTGCAGGTCTTAATCTTGGTGAATCACTGCCCCTTGGTGAGTTCACATTCCTCAACTAGCAAAAAGGGAATAGGACCTATTTCCTGTTGAAGTGTAGGGGTCTCATGGCTGGGGTAAGAGGAACCTTTTCCTTCCGTGGCCAACCTTGAGCAAGACCTCGGCTCTCTGCCTCTGCAGGGATTGCCAAGGCCTGTGAACAGAACCTGCAGAAGACCTTGCGTTTCGGGGGCCGTCTGGAGCTCCCCAGTAATATGGAGCTTCGAGCTATGTTGGTGAGCCTACAGCAGGGCTGGGGTCAAGATGAGTGGGAGACACAAGATCTATCTACCCAGAACCCTTTGCTAGGTGCACATGCCCTGCATGGTGTGTGAAGATGGCGCCTGTCAATCCTGGCGCATAAAGGTTCCTGCACAGACGTGCCTCTGGGTATGGGGGCTCCCGTGAGGGTGATAGGGTCCAGGCTTCCAACTTTCCTCTGCTTACCTACCCCAGGCAGGCCGAAGTTCCAAGAGGCAGCTTTTTCTTCTTCCAGGAGGCCTTGAACGCCATCTGAAAATCAAAACATGCACTGTAAGTGAGGAGTGTCTCAACAAACTGGAGCTAGGAGCGGGTAGGGACGCCAGGCTCTGGGTTGGGAGGAGTGAGCATCAGTGGTCCAGAGACTCCCATGCAGCCTCATGAGATAGGGCTTGAGGTTAGTTGCTCCTCCACTACTGTGGGTTCAGCATCGGCAGATTCAACCAACTGCAGATTGAAAATATTAGGGAAAAGTCACAATGGAACAGTACAGATTCTTTTCTTGCCTTTCTCTAAACAGTATCGTATGACAATGTCCACACAGCACTCTACTATATTTGGTATTATTAGCAGAGAAGATTGAAAGTCTAAGAAGGATATGTGTGAGGTCACATGCAAATAACTATGCAATTTTAAGTGACGGCCTTGGGCATCTCAGGAGTTTGGCGTCTGCAGGACGTCTTGCAATAGGTCCCTGATAGATACTGAGCAGGAAACAGCAAACTGAGACTTCAAGAAGAGTCACACAGCCCAGAGTCACATAGAGAATATAAAAGGGCAAATCAGGAGCCAGTTCCAAAAGCTGTGCTCTGTCAGGCTGAACCACAGAATCCTATGCCTCTTTGTTGGTGGATAGGGTCCAACTTTTCCTCTCTGGCCTTCCCAGGTGGCCCTGGATGTGATAGAGGGACTCTGCACCGAAATGGCCCTGACGCGTCCTGAAGCCTTTGCTGAGTATGTCATTTTTGTTGTCACCAACCGAGGTGAGTAGCCAAGAGGACTGAGCATCCTAGGCTCCTTCATGAACCAGCACCACTTTTAGCCATGGGGGCCTCTTTACCCTGCCCTGATGGCCAGGCCAAAGGTCACTTTCTCTGAAGCTCTTAACCTCCGTGAGAGACGACCTCTGTGCACTGAGCTCTCTCCCTGAGCCTTTTGTTTGTTATGTTCTGTCTCCCCTTTAGACTGTGGTTCATGGAAGATAGCGCCTCTGAACCCTGCTTTGGTCTCTCAGGGCCTCCTCAGTAGAGAAGCTGCTCTCTAGACCCTTGTATTTTGAGAAAGTTTCATCCATAAAACCAGACTCCTGAAACCCCACGTAGGAACATTTGCTCCAGCCCGCAAGCCCTCAGAGTAGCATGTAAGCCCCTGCTAAGGTCTCAGTGGGCCCTTCTCTCAAGGGACCCTGGGTACACAGGGAACCTCACACAATCCTAAACCCCTCCAATTTGCTATATGCCCACCCTAGGCTAGTTTTGCCTTCCACCAACTGGTAGTCACAGCCATCTCCAGTTATCCCCTCATGAGTGTCTCAGCTCTTCTTACCCCAGGTCCAGGCAGGACAGAGGGGGTGGGGATGGCAGGTAACAGCAAACATTTATTGAGCATATAGTAGGCATGTTCAAAGCATGTAATGGTATATACACCTGTGGTTGGTTTGTTGGTTTGTTTTTGCTTGGAGATACACTGGGAGTCAAACCCAGAGTCTCATGCATCCTAGGTAAGCCATCTCTGACTGAGAAATGCCTCCACCCCAGATCCAAATGCTATAAAGTCTTCCAACTCCCATACTCTGTAGGGTAGACTCTTCTCTTTGCTATTTACAGTTGGGGAAACTGAGGTCCAGAGAAACTTTAGTCTTCTGTGGCTGCTATAACAAATGACCACAAGCCCAGTGACTTACAATAACACAGATTGTCTTACAGTTCTGAGAGTCAGTGATACTAGACTAGAAACATGGTTAGAATTGCTTTTCTCTGGAAGCTTTAGGGGAGGTTCCATTTCCATCCTTTCCCAGCTTCTCCAAGCCGCCCACAGTTCTTGGCTTGGGGCTTCTTCCCAAGAGTATTGTTTTCAGATGTCTTTCTCCTGCCCCACCCCACCCCCATCCTACCCCCCACCCTCCGTCTCTGACTCAGCCTCTTGCCTCTCTTTTCGGATCTTCAGCGCTTCCATTTGGCCTCTCCAGTAATCTAAGACCCTTAATCACATCTGCAATGTCCCTTCTGCCGTAAAGGTGACATAGTTACAAGTTCTAGGCATTAGGATATTGCTTTCTCCAGAAGACTGTTCTCAGACACCACAGAGACCTGATCAAGGTTGCATGGTGGAGGTCAGAAACCAGGCAATCTGGCTTTAAGACTCTGGACTCTTTTATCATCACGCCAAGCAGTCCTCCATAGTGCAGTTTTTTGTTGTTTTTGTTTTGTTTTGTTTTTTTAACTGAAGAAGTGGGACAAGTAGCAAAAACATCAGTACGAGGGAGAAGCATATATATGTACCTCTCTCCCAGCTTAAAGCTCAGGCCTTTGACACCCCACCCCACCCCCCACCCTCCCACCCCCCACCCTCGCACAGATGTCCAGTGAGGGGCTCTCCTGAAGGAGGTCTGCAGAAAGGTTCATGACCAAGGCCTACTGTGCTCCTCAGTGACCACAACCTCTCTGGAAAAGGAGCTAGGATTTCCCAGTGCAGAACCTGAGGCCCTTTCCACACCCTGGCAGGCACTCCAGAACATTCAAGGCCCCTTCCTGGGGAGGAACAGGATGTCAGTGGTTTCTTTAAATTGGAGCAAAGCCTCCTGTGGTCACCAGCATGCCATTGGTGCACAGACATCCTGCTTTGTTTGTCCGTTCCCTTTCATAAGGAAGGTGCATCCTTGATGATGAGACGTCACTTGGCTGGCGGTTGGTGCCGTACAGGACCTGCACCACAGGTACACTTCTCTCAGCCATGCCTCTTTCTCCCTGTAGGCCAGCATGTGTGTCCACTGAGCTGCCGGGCCTACATCCTGGACGTGGCTTCAGAAATGGAGCAGGTGGAAGGTGGCTACACACTCTGGTTCCGGCGGGTGCTTTGGGATCAGCCACTGAAGTTTGAGAATGAGCTGTATGTGACCATGCACTACAATCAGGTGAGAGATGTGACCTCTCTGTTGTTCTGAACTCTATAAAATGGGGGGGGGAGGGTCTGTCGCATCACAAAACACACATGCTACACCCAGATTTTTGTGGAACTTGTACCAAAGCTTTAGCAATTCTACATACGAAACATGGCCACATTGTTGGATGTGGTGGCGCATGCCTTTAATCCTAGTGCTCAGGAAGCAGAGACAGGCGGATCTCGGGGAGTTAGAGGCCAGCCTGGTCTACAGAGCAAGCCCCAAGCCAGCTAGGGCTACATAGAGAGACCTTTTCTCAAACCCACAGCCACTTCGTTTTGGGGGCTACACAGTGTTGAGCCCTCCGTCTGCGTAGCCTGGTAGTGTGCTACTCAAGGACTAGCAAGCGCTTGATACTGACTGGTCCTGCCCCAGTTCTACAGGATCAGAGACTCTAGATGCAACTCTGAAATCTGGTTTGACACACTCTCTGCCTATCAACTTTGAGAAACATGCATCTAATGAACACTTGCGCACACTCTTCTGTTTACGTTTTGTTTCACCTAGCCCGCTCTTCCCATGTTACCATGGAAACTCCCTCATAGTCTTCATCCCTCAGAGCTCTTCTCCCATACGCATCCATCCTCATTCCCCGCAAACCAGGAAAGTGATGAACCACAAACTCCTGGAAGTGGGAAGGACTGGAGTCAGTGCAATTGCCTGACCCAGAACCCCTGACGATGAACGCCCGGATGTGCCCCTGCCTGGCCGCCCCTCATGCCAATGCTTCCTGCAGGTCCTGCCAGACTACCTGAAGGGCCTCTTCAGCAGTGTGCCGGCCAGCCAGCCCAGCGAGCAACAACTGCAGCAGCTGTCCAAGCTGGCTTCTCTGCAGCACCGCGCCAAGGACCACTTCTACCTGCCTAGCGTGTGAGCACCTGTCCACTTGTCTCAACCGGGACGGGGCGGGGGGGGGGGCAGGCCACCCATCCCCTCTGTACCAATGAGACAGGACGAGGCTTTCCTGGCCTGGAAGCTCTTTTCCTCTCCTGCAGCATATTGTTACCAGCTCGGAACAAAAACCTTCAAGACACACACACACCTTGTAGGCCAGAAAATATACAGCCATGAGGATTTAGCCACATAAACATTCACTGAGCTACATGTGGTGACTCATGCCTCTAATCCCAGCAATGGAGATGCCGAAACAGGAGGATCACTTGATCCCAGGAATTCAAGGCTAGACCGGGCAACATAGTGAGAATCCTATCTCAAAACACAAATCAAAACCCAGATTTTTGTGGAACTTGTACCAAAGCTTTAACAATAACAGCATAGCTGTTACATGTTAATACGTGTAGAGCGTGATGAAAACTAGCCATGGTGCCTGAGTGAGACTACCATCAATACCTGACCTTTGTGAACTTTTCCTGGCTGACTCACCTGACATCAGTCCGCCATCGTCTCACTGCAGAGACCAGCCTGCCCTTCACGGCCTCTGAGACGCTTTATGGTTCACTTGTGAGAAGATGAGGGTGGAGGAAAGGCAACTGACGTGTTGGCGTCACTGTGAAAACGGTTGTGGCCTCACAGCCCCTGGACCACCCTTTGAGAAGCCTTGTGTGAACAACAGCAAGACACTATCTTTACCGTGTGTGTCTCATGCCTCTCCTGCCCAAGGCCCAAATGCTGAGGGTGCTTTCCCTCTTTTTGGTGACAGGGTCTCATGCAGTCCAAGCTGGCCTCAGTACGTAGCTGGGGATGACACTGAACTGCCTCTACCTCCCGAGTGCTAAGATTCCCAGGCCTAAACCAACACACCAAATTCTCAAGGCACTTTTCATGGAATGATTGTTAACAACAAGAAGAAACCCTTAAAAGTATAATTCCAGCCGGGCGGTGGTGGCGCATGCCTTTAATCTCAACACTCGGGAGGCAGAGGCAGGTGGATCTCTGTGAGAGTGAGGCCAGGCCAGCCTACTCTACAGAGCAAGATCCAGGACAAGCACCAAAACTACACAGAGAAACTCTATCTCAAAAAAACAAAACAAAACAAAACAAAACAAAAAAATCAGTCTGGATTCACATCTTACCCTGTTCACACTGCCTCTCTCAGTCACTGTATGACCTTGGGCCCCTTGGTGACCCTCTCAAAGCCTCAGCTCCCTCAGCTGTGAGTAGGGACCCCATATTTCCTTCCCATACTCCCCTACATTTAGTATTCCAGGGAAAGATGACAGTGATGTCTGCTAGGTGTCCTACCTGCTTCAAAGTGGAGATCAACAGGTGGGTGGGTGGGTGGGTGCTCAGAAGCCCTGTACCCTCTGCACACAGGCGTGAAGTTCAAGAGTACATCCCAGCCCAGCTCTACCACACCACAGCCAGTGACACCTGGCTCAACCTGGTTAGCCAGCACCGGCAGCAGACCCAGGCCCTCAGCCCCCACCAGGCCCGTGCTCAGTTCCTGGGTGAGAGCTGGGAGGAGGGCTGGAGACATCAGGGGGAGCTGAACTGAGGGTGGCCAGAGGGAGGTTGGAGATACTATTTTCTTTTCTTTTTTTTTTTAAAAAATATATTTTTAGTTTATTGGTGTTTTGCCTGTATGTGTGTCTGTGTGAGGGTGTTGGATCCTGGAGTTATGGACAGTTATGAGCTGCCATGTGGGTGCTGGGAATTGAACCCAGACTCTCTGGAAGAGCAGCCAGCGCTCTTAACCACTAAGCCATCTCTCCAGACCCAAGGAGATGTCATTTTCTTTGCACAAAAGCAGTTTTTGGTGGCAGCCGAGCGGCCTACCTATCTGGAAAGACTCATTATCACCTTCCTAAAAGTATCATGTGGGTTGGAAAAGATGTTGGGCAGAGAGCTAAAGGCGAAGGAACTAGCAGGTGGGGAACAGGAAGAGGCCAGGAGGGGAGGAAGAGAGGTCTGAGCAGACAGGAGCAGAGAGCAGCTTTTGCAGGCAGCAGGCAGGGCAGGGCAGTGGCTGGCCCGTTGTCCTGGCCCAGGTGTCCTGATAGCATCTCTCCACCCTGCAGGCCTCCTCAGCGCCTTCCCCTTGTTCGGCTCCTCCTTCTTCTTCATCCAGAGCTGCAGCAACATCACCGTACCAGCCCCCTGTATCCTCGCCGTCAACCATAATGGCCTCAACTTCCTCAGCATCAAGACCCATGTGAGTGGCTTTGGCCAGGCCCTGCCCACCTGTCCCTTGTCCCTTCTGTCCTTTGGCACCCCCACCTACTCTTAAGGACAAAGATTTGTCAACTTCACATCTACCTCCTTTATGGTCTGCAGCCAATTCCTTCCCCTTCAGAGCCTTCGTTTGGGAAGTGGGAATAATAGAATTCTGGCCCCTACAGGGCTATGTGAAGGGACCATGTAGGAAAACACGCCAAGAGAGAGCATGTGCGTAGTATGTCAGGCTGGCAGAGCTGCACACCACAGGCTGGAAGGGAGCCCTATGCAATTCAAGGTCATTTTCTCATGTTTCTGGAGGCTGAAATTCCAAGATTTCTGCAACTTGGGAGCTTTGGTTTCTCCTTGGCTTGTCGACAGTAGCCTTTTTGTTTGTTTTTGTTTTTCAAGACAGGTTTCACTGTATAGCCTTGGCTATCCTGGAACTTGCTCTGTAGAACTAGGCTGGCCTTGAACTCACAGAGATCCACCTGCCTCTGCCTCCCGAGTGCTGGAATTAAAGGCATTCGCCACCACCACGCGGCCAACTTTCCTCTTCTCATAAGGACACACTAGTCATGCTGGAATGGAGCCCAACCTAGTGGCCTCATTTTCATTGATTTAACTGTTTTTTTTTGGGGGGGGGGCTGTATAAATTTGTGGCCCAGGCTGGCCTTAAATGATTCTCCTGACTCAGTTTTCCTACGGTGGGATTACAAACACATATGCCTACCTTTTATCTCTCTACCTTGTGGTACTGAGGATGGAACCAGCGCCCCCCCCATATGAGGCAAGCACTCTATCCCTGGTCCCTTAACCCCCCCTTTACAGGTCCTACCTCCAAATATAGTCAGGTTCCAGGGGGCTAGGGCTTTGTATAGCATTAAGGAGTTGGATTTGCCACCCTTTTCTTGGTTCCTGCTCTTAAAAACAAACATGGGTTGTGAGTTTGGGTTTGCTTAGGTTTGCATAGAGATGAGTCTAGGAGACACTAGAAGAAGTAAGTGGGGTGGAGAAGGGGCAGGTTGGAGACCCTGGGAGACAATACAGAACATACCTGTTAAGGTGTGTTTTTTCTCCTGGAGTAAGGAGCTGCCATGATTCCTCACTCTACATCCCATTGGTCTAAAGGTGTCTCCTTTAGGTACTAACCTTTCTCTGCATGGGGACCAGAAATAAAGCTCTTTGATAAAAGGGTACAGGTGTCCCCAGAAGCAGCTCTGTTATAAAGGTTGGAGTACCCACAGTACCCACTACCCTTTGCATCTCAGCCATGAAGCATCAGTATTTGTTGAATCAGTTTCCTGTAGTGAGGAAACTGAGATCCAGAGTGGGCAGGTGAATTGCTCCAAGTCACAAGTCAACAAGTGTCTGAGGAACTAGAGCTGGACCTTCTGTCTTTTGATGCGACTTTTGGGGGAAGGTTTGATATGGTAGAGACTACCCTCCCCCTTCATTTCTGTCTGGCTCCTCTGCTCTCATCCGCAGGAGCTAATTGTGAAGATTCCCCTGAAGGAGATCCAGTCTACATGGACTCAGCAGCCCACGGCCAATTCCAGCTACCCTTATGTGGAGATCTCACTGGGGGATGTGGCAGCCCAGCGTACCATGCAGCTCCAGCTGGAGCAGGTAAGTCCAGTCCTGCTAGCCAGACCCTGTCATGTGGCTCTGGCTCTCTCATTCTACACACTAGGCTCTTCTCTGGCCTGGGCTATGCCCCAGGGGGCATACAGCCCAGTACAGGCAACAGAGCTGTGAATTCTCATGGAGGCCTTCCCAAGAAGCAATTTAGCAGTGCACTGTGGGGAAGGATCCAGGTTGTTTGCAGAATAGTAAGGTATTTGGCGGGGTACTAGGAAGATTCACCAGGGAAAGAGGGAGGCCTCAGAGCTCTTTGAATGTTAAAATAAAACTCCGGGAGATGGGGGTGTGATTCAGGTGCTAGACTACTTGCCTAACGTGTGTGAGGCCATTGGATTGATCCCTAGTACTGCGCAAACACTGGACATGGTGATACATGGTACATACCTGTAATCCCAGCAACCTCAGAAGGTAGAGACAGGAGGATCCTGAGTTCAAGGTCATCCTTAGCTACAAAGGCAGGCCTGGGTTAGAGACTCTGCCTAGAAAAGGAGGAGGAGAAGGAAGAAGGAAGAGGAGGAGAAGGAATAATAATAACAAGAAGCTTTCTGAGGTCACTAGGGAGCAACAGAAGGTTGGTGAGTGGACAGTTTGGCACAGGAGGTCTCAGGAGGTTGACCTGGCCTTGAGACATGGCAGCTAGATGGTGGGGACCTGGGATTGGAAGCTAGGTAAGTAAGTTTCCTTGTGACAACTAGACTAGACGACATCTAGACTAGGAAGCTGGACTCCTGGCTAAATCTTATGGTCCCTAGCATCAGGACAGAAACAGAGCCAGGGTTGAGGCAGAGAGAGGGACAGGATCTTGGATAGCCTCATTTTTTGCCCTTTCTAGCCTGCCACCTCCCCTGTGAGACTGGGCCTTCCGCTGTACCAGCAAGAGCCCTGGAGAACCTGTGACGCAGAACCAGGCTTCTGGATGGCCTTCCGCCACACACCTTTGTCCTGCCTCCCCCCACTCTCCTTCCTCTGGTAACCATGATTTCTTTCCCTGCAACCTCTCTGACCCCAGGGCTTTCAAAATGATCTCTGCAATGGCAATGTCCTGGCTAGGTAACAAAGACTATTAGGGTCCAGCCCCTTAATAGCCTTTTCCCAGGGTCTGTGGAAGACTTTAATAACTGAGGAATCCAATCTTAATGATATCAAATGAATCTACATACACAAAACTCCTTAGTCCATTCACTTTATTCTTCTGAGTCAGTTCTATTCTGCTCTCATACTTAGCTCCTTTCTTGCCTGATTCTCTCTACATTTTTCTGCTGTTCTAAGTTCTATCTTAATTCTCCCTTTAAGAAGAACTAAGGGCCGGGCGGTGGTGGCGCACGCCTTTAATCCCAGCACTCGGGAGGCAGAGCCAGGCGGATCTCTGTGAGTTCGAGGCCAGCCTGGGCTACCAAGTGAGCTCCAGGAAAGGCGCAAAGCTACGCAGAGAAACCCTGTCTCGAAAAACCAAAAAAAAAAAAAAAAAGAAGAACTAAGGTTCTTCCCATCTTAGTTCTTTCCCATCCAATTCTTCCCCATCTAATTCTTCCTAACTTAGTTCTTCCCCATCTTAATTCCCTCCCATCTTCATTTTCTCTCAAGTCTCCAAGGTTTTCAGCTATATACCCATGCAATCAGCAACACTCTGGCCAAGGCAAGGTCACCAGGCTGGAATTCTTTCAGGGTCAAAACGAGGGGTGACAAGATCCACACAAAGAGTAGCAACTGTTAGTTATCATTAGCAACCCAAAAGGGAAGTGACTAGATCTAGAACTAGAACTAGACATCTAGAACTAGAGGTCTGGAACTAGAGATCTAGAACTAGAGATAGCACTTGGAAAAAGGACGGTTAAGCTTAATTAGCACATCTGCCTGGCCTAGGCAGTTGTCTCATTATAAATTTTTAACTTCTCTCAGGAACTAACAGATAGTCTGAATGCTTATCTATCTGCAGTCTGTTCTAGGTCTTGAAGGTATCTCAGATAAAATACTTTTCATCTGGCGAAGATCCTGGCTGGATGTTTCTAATGACGATAATTACAGAAAGGCCTGAAATTAGGGGTCTTGGCTGTGTGACTGCTGTTAGCACAGGTGGGGTATGTTATCCAGATACTCTAATTGTGTAGGGGGAATTGTGCCCAATGAATGATCAACCACACTGTTAGAAGTTCTTGGGAAAAGAATCAAATGGGAGCCGGGCAGTAGTGGCGCACGCCTTTATCCCAGCACTTGAGAGGCAGAAGCAGGAGGATCTCTGTGAGTTCGAGGCCAGCCTGATCTACAGAGAGAGTTTCAGGACAGGCACCAAAGCTACACAGAAAAACCCTGTCTCAAGAAACCAAAAAAGAAAAAGAAAAAAGAAAAAAAAAAGAAAAAAGAAAAAAAAAGAGTCTAGTGGGAAGGCTACAATAGCACACAAGAAATTCATTGCAGGAGACAGCTAATACATTCAAGAGCCAATATCACCAAGACTCTTTGAGTCTTAGCTTCTGGAAGAGTTCTTAACCCTTCTAGGTAATAGCTTTTGCCATAGTCAGCTGAGTCCCTACTTCATATTTCTACAGCTCGCAGCAGTCAGGGTCACTATTGCTGTGATGCAACACCATGACCAAAAGCAAGTTGGGGAAGAAAGGGATTGTTTGGCTACACTTCCACATTGTAGTCCATCACTGAAGGAAGTCAGGACAGGAACTCAAACATGGCAGGAACCTGGAGGCAGGAGCTGATGCAGAGGCTGTGGAGGGGTGCTGCTTACTGGATTGCTCTTCATGGCTTGCTCAGCCTGCTTTCTATAGAACCCAGGACCACCAGCCCAGGTGGCCCCACCTACAATGGGCTGGGCCCTCCCGCATCAATTACTAATAAGAACATGCCCTACAGCTGGATCTTTCTCAAGGCATTTTCTCAGTTGAGGTTCCCTCCTTTCATATAATGCTAACGTGTGTCAGGCTGGCATAAAACAAGCCAGCACACGTGTCAGACTTCCCTTTCCTGCTCTAGCCTGAGCCCTGCGCTCCCTCCATGGCTCCTCTGACTGCTCTCCTTCCATCCAATCTGTTCTCTCATCACCACGGCAGCCACCTCTCTTTCCTCCTGCTCAACCACTCCACCTTCCTTGCCTCTTACAGCTCCGCTGTGCTGAAGTCATCGGCCCCTCCCTGCTCGAGATCCTTTGCGCCGACGGTTCTCTCTACCTGAACCGTTCCTTCTTCCTTGATTCCTCACAGGCTTACTCCCTCCCTTTACTTAGGTTTCGTCATAAAAGCCCCTCTGCAAAAGCCTTCCTCGGCCCTCCTCCCTAATGACTTATCAACTCTGCCTCTGTGGCCCCCAGCACACCTTGCATATCATTTATGCTTTTGTTTGCCTGTTGCCGGCCTCCCCACCAGAATGTCAGCTCCATGAGGACTTATCCATCTTATTTGCATCATGTCAACGGCACAGTGCCTGGGACATAGCAGGTGTTAGTGTGTACTCATTGGGCTGATGAGTTTATGAATGGCTGGATGGGTGAGCGAGTGAATGGATGGGCAGATGGATGGATGGGAGAATGAGTAGAAAGGTGCACAGGTGGGTGGATGAAAATCTTTCTGGCCTCGCCAGTTCCTTGCCGTCCCCTCCTGTGAAGAAGCTACTACCTCTGTCCTGTATGTGTGGAGGGACACAGTCTTTTACTCATTCCTTCACTCGGCAGATGGCCATTGAGCATCTCTGTATAGCATGCTTTAACAAATGTGACTGAATATCACCAGCTGTACTGGCTCTCAGAGAACCCCAGTTTCAGATCTGGTTTGTTGTTTGTTTGTTTGTTTGAGACAGGGTTTCTCAGTGTAACAGCTCTGGCTGTCCTAGAACTCGCTCTGTAGACAAGGTTGGCCTTAAACTCACAGAGATCCACCTGCCTCAAGTGCTGGGATTAATGACACGTGCCAGCACTGCCTGGCTCCAATTTCAGATCTGTAAAAAAAAAAAAAAAATCTCACTACATAACCATGATCCATACTGGGAAGGGTGCACAGGAGATTTGATCTATGTAAGAGGCAATTGGGGATGGTTCCAAGAAGGAGGTAGTTTCCGAGTGTGGTAGCATTGACATCTCTGACAGGCTGTGCAAGAGGTTAATAAAGTATCCCTGCTGCTTTTGAGCCTGTTTCCATATCCGCTAAGCTGGGCATAAGCATAGGAGCCTGTGAACAGGCAAAAGATTGACCGTAATGAGCTGTGTTGGTCAGCCTTCCATTGCTGTGATAAACTCCTGAGATAACTTAATTAGAATCTTACTATTTAGGCAGGTGGTGTGGTGCATGCTTTTAATCCTAGCACTCAGGAGGCAGAGGCAGGTGGATCTCTGTGAGTCAAGGCCAGCTTGGTCTACAGAGTGAGTTCCAGGACAGCTAGGGTTATGCAGAGAAACCCTGTCTCAGAAAAAAAAAAAAAATCTTAGGCCAGGAATGGTGGCATGGCCTTTAATCCCAGAACTGGGGGGTGGAGGCGGGTAGATCTCTATGAGTTCCAAAAGCCAGCCAAAGCTACACAGTGAGACCTGTCTCAAAAAAAAAAAAAAAATCTGATCTTGCTGGACATGGTGACACAAGCCTATAATCTCTGTAATCTCAGCCTTGGGGAGGCAGAGGCAGAAGGATCTCTGTGAGTCAAGGCCAGTCTGGACCTGGCCTATGTGAATTCCAGGCCAGCTCAGGCTACACATTGAAACCCTGTCTCAAAACAACAACGAAATCCCATCTGACCCTCTACAACCCTGCTAGACGGGGTCTGGTAACTGAAACCCTTCAGATAAGGCCACCGAGTCTCAGGAAAGCCTAGTAACTGATCCTACGTTACTCAGCACACAGGCAGCAAAGCTGAGGTCCCATGCACTGTCCCTACTTGCTGCCCTTCTGGTCTATGGCCCACCAGCTCTTTCAGAGGGAATGGGGACAAGGGTCCTCACATGGGTCATGTGACCTCTGCTCTTTTCCCAGCCCCATTTCTGTTTCTGGGGATGGAAGTTAAGAGACTATTCTGTGTCCCCCTGCAGGGTCTGGAGCTGTGTCGTGTGGTGGCTGTACATGTGGAGAGCATGCTCAGTGCCCGGGAGGAGCGGCTTACACTGCCCCCGAGTGAGATCACCCTGCTCTGACATGGCCTATCTTCTTGATGCTTCCTGCCAGAAGATTGCTCTGTGGCCTGAGGGTAGTAGCTGGACCTTTCAGGACCATTGACCCCAGACAAAGGCCAGAACCTATGAGGAGACCGAAGGAGACAGGAGGAAAAACTCAAGAACCCAACGGGACCTATCTGGAGCTGGGATGGAATCACAGATGCAGCCAAGGGTTAGTTAGCAGAAGTAACTTTTAAAGGCTGGCCTGTCATACAGTGAGAAATAGAGCAGGACCACCAGAAGGTGACAGGCCTCGCCTTGACTACTACCCTTGACAGGGAAGCCCCACACCAGTAGTCTAGATGTATTGGGGCCTGCCTTTGCTTTCTTTAAGGCTTGATACTCAGATCTGCTCCAGATTCATCCCCAGCCTTCCATGTGTCCTTGTCAAGTGCCCACAGCCTGGATCTGTGACCCTTGGTCGTTTCTTTGCAAATAAGAGGTGTTCCTGGCAGCCATGTTCTCCGTGGACCTACTCAGTGGCTGGAAAGCAAGCCTGAAAGAGGAGGGAGAGGCACAGATGTACCAGACTCACTGCAGTGAACAGCATTTCCAGCAGACACATCTGCCCTTCCCCCTCTCTAAGGACCCTTGACCTCCATTCTACAATCTTTTGGTAGCCCCAATCCCAGTTTCCATCACAGGATGGACCACCCAAAGCACAAGAGTGGGGCAGTAAAGAAGGTTCATCACAGGCTGTAGAGATGACTCAGCAGTTAAGAGCACTGGCTGTTCTTCCAGAGGACCTGGGTTCAGTTCCCAGGACCTACAAGGCAGTTCACAACTGTCTGTAACTCCAGTTCCAGGGGATCTGACACCTTCACACCAATGCACATAAAATAAATAAATAAAAAAAAAAAGTTCCATCTCTGGGGGTAAGGGCTAGGAAGGCTGAGAAAAAGCCTTTCAGAGATTGGTACATTATAACTAGATTGTGAAGAATGAGTAAAGTTTGCTTAGATGGAAAGGAGAGGGTTAGACATTCTAGAGGGAACCATAGTTTCCTGCTGGATTTGCAGATGGAAGGTCTAGCCTAAAATGATGGCTAATGTAAATAAAGGAATGCGGGTATGTTGGTATACAGCTGCAATCTCAGTGCTCCAGAGGCTGAGTCAGAAGGATCACTTCGAGTTCGAGGCCAACCCAGGCTACATAGCAAGACCCTGTTTGGGAAAGAAAAAAAAAAGATGCTGGGGAGATGCCTCAGTGGTTAAATGCATTGGCTGCTCTCCCAGAGGACCTGAGTTCAATTCCTAACACCCACACAGCAGATAACAACCATTTGTAACTCCAGTTCCACAAGGTCTGTTGTCCATGAGTACCAAGCACACATGTGATGTACAGACATGTGCAGGCAAAATACTCATACACATAAAAAATAAAATTTTAAAAATTTAAAAATAAATAAAATGGATGAGTGTGGATGGAGGATGGTGAATGGATGTGAATGGATGGTGGTGGAGGACTGGTAGAAGTCACAGAGGCTTGGGAACTGGGGCTAGCCTGGCAATGGCAGCCCTGACACCAAAGGAAGGAACTGAGGCTCATTCAGCCATTCAGTACCTTGCCAGGCCCTGGGAACTACTATACTGGATAACTATGGACCAGGACCAACCCCAGGAGCGGGACTGGGCAAGTGATAAGAACAGGTCCCAGCTCATGGGGCCTAAGGTGATGTCACTAGCAGCAGGTGACCCTGGTATTAGGGTGACTCGGGCCCAGCTTCTTGGGAACTCACAGGATTTCATCCCAAGAACTTTCCAGTAGTGATGGATT